ATACACACTTGGGGCTGGAGAGATGGTTCTGTGCATCAGACTTCTTGATGCTCTCATAAAAACCCTGAGTTTGGTTCCCAGCACCTGCATGGCAGCTCATAAACACCAATAACCCCAGTTCCAATGGATCTGACCCCTCTTCTGGCATCCTTGGGCACTAGGCACCCACATGGTATACATACATATTTGCAGGCACTCACATACAATAGTAAAATAAATCTTGAAAAAGATATATACACTTAGTGAATATACAATTCAACAAAATTTATGTGCAATATGAAAGTTTCACTGGAGGTTTAACCTGACCTGGTGAGGTAAGGAAAGCCTATCTAGGTTTTAGTAGTAGGGTCCACTTCAAATTTATCTACAATGGCTATTAAGTTTTTAACTGGCACAAATAATTAATTATGGGGTACATGGTAAATTTTTGGGCATGACTAGAATGTACAGTGGTCAAGTTAGGATAAATGGAGGGACTAGCACTCTGTCCCTATTTTGCCACAATTTTGTCTCTTTAGGAACAGAAAGAGAATTTGGTTCCTGGCTGGTAACTATTGTGTGATGTTTTACTCTTTTGACTTTTTGAGGGACCCATCACCCAGCTCCCAAGTAAATTACACACAGAGGCTTATTCTTAGTTATGAATGCCTGGTTTTAGTTTGACTTGCTTCTTGCCAGTTTTTCTTATCTTATGTTAACCTGTTTACCTTTTTTCTCTGGATTTTTATCTTTTTTTTTCTGTATACCTTTCTTTACTTCTTTCTCTGTGGCTTGCTGTGTAGCTGGGTAGCTGGTCCCTGATGTCTTCCTTCTCTTGTTTCTCTTCTTCTCTCCTCCCAGATTTCACTTCAGATTTTTTAAAAAATATTTATTTATTTATTTATTTATTAGGTATACACTATTTTGTCTGTGTGCATGTCTGCAGCCAGAAGAGGGCACCAGACCTCTTTACAGATGGTTGTGAGCCACCATGTGGTTGCCGGGAATTGAACTCAGGACCTTTGGAAGAGCAGGCAATGCTCTCAACCACTGAGCCATCTCTCCAGCCCCCCTCACTTTCTATTTATAATCTCTGCCTGCTAGCCCCACCTATCCTTGCTCCTGCCTTGCTATTGGCCTTTCGTTCCCCCACCCCCAGAAATGGCTTCTCTGTCACAGCCCTAACTGTCCTAGAACTAACTCTCCTAGACCAGGCTGGCCTCGAACTCAGAGATCAGCCCGCCTCTACCACGCTAGTTGTAGGATTAAAGATATGCGCCACCAGGGTGACAGGCTTATATGGCTGGGATCACAGGTCTCTGGGATATCCTGCAATTTCTCCAGGGCATGAAGAGCCAGCATGGCCCAAGTATACATGAATACTTGTGTGTTGAGGGTGGGAAAGAACAGGCAGCTACCCCCATAGAAATTTACAGACGTGGCACTTAAAAGGGTAGCCCAAAACAGTGAGGATGCCCTGCACCTTGTGCCTGGACACAGGAGTGACTGATCTAGGCCCAGGTAACAGAACTGTCTCCTGCCAACTCAACAGATTAAAAAATAAATAATAATAATGATAAAAAAAAAGTCCTAGGTCCCTCAACATCTCTTGCCTGTGGGACTCTTCACAACAAATGGGGTGAAGAACTGGACAGGGTGGACAGAGCCTGGGTCTGAGTCCTGCAGAGATGGGGGAAGGCGCAGAATGCTGCTGCTTCTGATCAGGCAGGGAAGGCTTCCCAGGGCGATGGAACAGGCTCTTCCTCACCAGCACCCTTCAGGAGTCCCGTCTCCACATCAGGGGCAACCTAGAATACCCTCTCGGGCAGCGCTAACCCCACGCAAGTCTCTGGTTCTCTGGGTCAGCTCTGAGCGTGCACAAAGGTCCAAAGCCAGTGGAGAGACATGGCGAGTATCTGACACTTGGCCGGCGCCTCTTTCCGCTTTAGCACCCGTCAGTCACATCATTATCTTCAGTGCTCAGGGCCAGCTGAAACATCAGACTCTGGAGACGTCTGGGAGGGACATCACACCCCCCAGTGCTGACACGACCTTCCCACGCTGACCTTGGCGCTCCACAACAGAACGCTTACTGTCCTCAACCCCGCATCCGCGGAATGGGCTGGAATTGCGCAGGAAGACGAGCGTGCGCACGCGTCGCTGGACACGGAAATCCACACACCACACCCATGCGCGTTCTAGTCCGGGGAGCCGGTGTGCTAGTCCCGGCCGCGATCCGGAAGCCAAGCGACCTTGGCTCCGCCCCGTGAAGGCTACCCGGTGCGGACGCGCAAGCGCCATTTATCTCGGGGCGGGGCTTCAGGAGCGCCCGCCCTCTTCCCCCGGCGTGCCCCGCGGCAGGCGCTGACGTGGCTGCCGTCAGCGCCGCCATCTTGTGGGAGCGAAACCAACGCCTGGCTGGGAGCAGCCGCCGCGGAGGTGAGGCGCTGGGAGCGCTGGGGCCGAGGCTGGGGAGGCCACGGGCTGACCATCGTGGGCGTCGAGGGGCGCTCAGTGCAGGCGGCTAAGGGCCCGGTCTGGTCAGGCGGGCCGGGATCTGTGTCCCGTGGACCTGGCGACAGGCCGGGCAGAGGATCGGGGCTCCCCCAGTCCCGCGTCGCCCACGGCCGCTCGGCCCTCCCCCACTCCGCGGCCCATACGCCTGGCCGCCCGCCGCGGGCCGCAGCCCGGAAGTCCGGCCTGGACGCCGGCTCCTCTCCAGGAAGCCAGGTTTCCTGCTGTTCCTCTCTGCGCCTCTCCTAGGTTCCGCGGCCCGGGAGCCCGGCTACGGGGGTCTTCCTGCTAGAAGGGCTGGTGGTCGGCGGCGTCAGAGACGGGACGGGCCTTGGGGCGGGGGAAGCTGAGGCTTGGGTGGCTCTGAGACGGCGTCAAGGTCACTCAGGTACCGAGGTCTTCCTCCTCTGTTTCTCGAGCCCGGTTCCCGTCGGCCCGGAGGATCGGAGCTTTAGGGGGGGACGGGATGGGGCAGGTGGATAGGGGCCCGGGACTGCTGAACCCGGTGCTGGGATCTAGCAAGCGCATATGTGGATCTCAAGGGATCCCGGGGTGCCCACTCTGCCCCCCTGTGAGCCGTGATTTTGGCCCCACACTTCACCGGCCAGATCTTCATTGAGGTTTGCACTCCGGGGCTTGGTGGCCTCTGGAGGAATTGAGCCTCGTTTCGCCTCTTGACGGACCCTCTTGCTGCAGTTTTGGGTGGGTTAGAAGGGCCCTTCTGAGTTGGGGAGTCTTTAGCCTGGCCGTGGGACAGTCTGCTTCCAGTCCCTGAGCAATCTGCAGCTAACAGGCCAGATCCAGTACCCCGGTCTGACTGTCCAGTCAGGGTGGTCATGCCATGCCGAACTGAATGGAGCTGATGAAGCTGAGCCGTTGTATGGTACCTAAGTGCCAGGGAACCAGCTCTCGTCAAGGAGGAATTCGCCATCCGACAAGTGGCTGTTTTGCGAGGCAAGGAAGGGGCAGCTGCTCTTGGTCCCAGAAGTCACCGGAGAGCCCAGTAGCTGATGCCACAGCCAATGTTGGAGTAGTCCGTTGCTGTTCTTGTTTCACATCTAGTGGTCAGCAGTTTTCCCTGCAGGCTGATTCTGGTGTTTCCTGCAGTGTGGATCAGAAAGAAGAAGGCTGGGATGCCGTGGTGCTTTGGTGCTGGTTCCATGTCCTCCCTCTGTAGTCAGTGTCGACAGCATCTACCATGGGTGACTGGCTGTAATGTCCTTACTTTTGAGCTTTCAGTAGCAGTATCACGAACGGCCTAGACCGAGATTTGATCAACAGTGTTACTACCTGGTTCCTCTGTTTCTCCAGAGTTGAGTGTGGGAAGGGCCGGTCACAGATGTGTGAGCTACATTGTTGGAACTGCCTTGTCTCCTTGTTATAAAGGTTTCTCTTAGTGGACTGTCTATCACTTATCCTTAGTATCTGTTGAACACGAGTCACTAGATCACCACCCTGCTCTCTTGCTTGTGAGGCAAATGTGCAGAATTGCTACTTCAAAAGGTTTAAGAGCTAGGGGTAGAATGCTTTTCTTGGCCTGCGTGAAGCCCTTGGTTTGGATCTCCAGCACAGCACACACACAAGGTTTAACTGTGAATAACAGCTGACTCATACTCGGTCTACTCATCCTGAAAGGAAAGGAGCAGTAACTAGTTCTGTACCCCTCACACACAGTTCTGATTGTAAGTCATGTAGCTGTGATGCCCACTATGCCTCTTGCACAATAGTGCCTTGTAGAGAGAGTGTTGAAAATCTTTGCTCCACTGGGTTGCTACCTCTGCCCAGGATCAGGCAGGCTTCAAACTACAACTTTTTAAGGTAAAGGTAAATTAGGCCTGTAGCAACTATGGTGACCCAGTGTCAGGCAGCCTAACCAAGAGAAAAGACTTGTTGTGCAGGTTCATGCAATAGCTTGTTAAGAATGGTTTGAGAGTGTTGGGTCAATGTTTTTCAGATTCTTTGAATTAAATGTTACCTTGATGTGCAGGGTCTTTTTGTGACAAGGTTTCTCTGTGTAGTCCTGGCTGTCCTGGAACTCTCTGTGTGTAGACCAGGCTGGTTTCAAACTCAAGAGATCTGGCTGCCTCTGTCTCCCGAGTGCTGGGATTAAAGGTGTGTGCCACCACTGCCCAGCTAGATGTGCAGGTTTAAATCTACTCTTAATCACAGGGCCTTTGTGTGTCATTTGCACTGAGGAGCCCATCAGACTTCAGCCTGCTGTAGGTTGCATTGCATTCATGGTCTGTCCCTGTTGCCTCTTATGCATTTCTTTGACTTTTGATCTTCATGAAATTGTCAGAGATAGTGAGGAGCAAAATAGGAACATTCCTTTGTGTTGAGATCTGACACTAAGAGTGCTTTTGTGTGTGTGTGTATGTTGTATCTACTATTGAAAAGATTTGACACTGCCTGCTGAGAAGTGCAGGATAGCTGGTGTGTGTGTGTGTGCACATTAGTGTTGTCACTACACACTGAGATTTGTGTCCAGTATTGAAGATTACAGGTAATAATAGCTTGTGGTGTTGCTTGTCAATGTCTTGAAAGGTAACTCAGCCTTCCTAGGTGGGTCAAATGGCCTGGCTGGAAAACTTGTTATTGTGGGCACATCCAAGCTCTTTATTTCCAGGAGGACATTTTAGATGTTCACCACCTGTCCTGCATCAGATATAAAGAAGTGGTAAGACTGTTTAGGGCCCAGCCTCCACTACATTCTTATTTGATTCTGTTTCCTGATTTTTTTTTTTTTTATTCAACATTGGTAATTAGGAAGAGCATCACTCCCTGCAGGCCCTGATAATAGGGAAAGTTTTAAGTGATAAGGGGAATTGACAGAAAATAGGATGCTAGGCCTATATTTTATTGGTACTGTTCATGGGGAAAAGTTTAACAGTGTAGTAGAGTTTTGCTCTAAACTTGATGCTCCTGCCTCAGCCCCTGGAGATAAAAGCCTGCTGGGATTACAGGTGTGTGCCCCCGTCTTAGGCAGAATATTTTTACAGACAGCAGATGGGTGATTAAGTTTATATGGCAAGCAGCTCACCATATTTCTGAGAATCTGGGAATTGCTGCTGTATAGAATGAGTAAAGTGGGACTTGGTTATTATCGCTGCACATTTCAGGAAGTGGGAAGTGTGTGATAGAAAACCTTCTTAATATCTATCTATAAAGGTAAGTATACCTTTATTAAAGGGATGCTGGCAAGCTAGAGCTCTTTCCAAAAGGCTCTTTGTGCTTGATGACTGTGTGTTAAACAATAACTTTTTGTTAGTATCAGTTGTCGAAATATTTTTGTCCGCCTGGCAGTGGTGGCACATGCCTTTAATAGCAGCACTTGGGAGGCAGAGGCAAGCAGATCTCTGTGAGTTTGAGGCTTGCCTGGTCTAGAGTTAGTTCTAGGGCAGCTAGGGCTGTTATACAGAGAAACCGTGTCTTGAACTCCCCCATACTTTTTTCTTTCTTTTTTTCAATGTCATATACTGAAACAGGGAAGTTTGTGGCCCAGATCTGTAGGTGTCCTCTGACAAGTTTTTCTTTCTTTCTCTCCTCTCCTTCTAAGTTCTATTGGTATGATTTAGGTGCTTGTGGCCAAGAAAAGGGTTTCTAGATTTTGGTGAGACTCATTGCTGAAGAAGGAGAGTGAAGAGTACTAGATGGCCTGAAGTGTGTTTTCCTCTGAAGCCTCCTGTTCTGTAGATAAGAATGCACTTTTTCTTCGTTTGAGTCTAACAGCTTGTATTTAAAATATTTTATCTAATAATGACTTTGGTGGTGAAATTTTGCTTGGCATTACTTTCAGCTTTTAACAGTTCTTCTGTTAAGGTCATATCAGACTTTGGACAGACTGAGGTGATCAGCTGAAATGTGTGCTTAGAGCTAGCAGTTCTTGGGGTACGTTTGATACATACCTTGCTTCCTCGATAGTTTTGCCTTCAGCTCCCAGGTCTCTACACACCTGAGTCTCTAGATGTTACTGGTGTAGGGATTTTCACACAGATGCACAACTGAGCATAGTTTAAAATAGTGCAACATTGCTTGTTGACTGTGTAGTTTCCCTGACAGTCATTAGGATTATTCTCTCTGCTGGTGTGTAATCTTTATTTCAATTCCAGAGCCTTGATAAACCTTTTTTTTTTTTTAAAAAAGGAAAAAAACAACAACATTGCTTTCTCTCTAATAAGGAATCACCTGTGAGGGGTCTAGTGGAGGAGGTGACCTTAGCATTGGACGGACACAAAGCTACTTGCCATGCATGTTCTTGTGTTCATCCTGACACTCCTACGAGTGACATGGCAGGCCCCTGGGGCTTATCCAAGGAGGCAGAAATGTCATCTCACAGGTGATATTTATGCAGAGATGTGATAGAAAAAGTTTGGCAAGTTTGAGGCAGGAACTAGAGGCCTTTTAGTAGCCCAGGACAACTGACACAAGGGCTCTGAGCTGGGTAAATGTACTCTGAGTTTGGAAACTAGAGGGAGCAGTGTGGGAGGGTAGGACTAGAGAGAGAGTGGTCCTGGTCTCTGGAGCAGCTTTGCAGTCCTCAGAAAGGATATTTTCAAATCTGTAGGAACCCTTTGGTTCTCTCAGGAGGAAGGCAACGCTCTCTGGCACTTAGCCACTTGTGTGGTTTTCTTGTAGGTGGAAAATCCCTCTGTGATAGCCTAAGCTTGATCACAGAAAGATAAAGCAGCTCTTTGGCATAATTTTAACAGATGTTCCAAGTCTTCCAGGAACCCCAGCTTTAACCACCTTGTAGTCAAGGGCAGTGAATTTTGTTTTCTTCAGCGCCTCACAAAAAGTTGTTCTCCATTTAGGAAAAAAGTTGAGGTGGCATGTCCTTGAGATTACTGTGCTTGGCATTTAGTGCCTCAGTGGCTAGCCACCTCCCTTTGTCCTGTGTATAAGAATGGCTGAGCCTAGCATTAAAG